TTCTTGTCAAAATAATGAAATGACTTATATAATGATATTGAATGAGTGTTCCATGTAGAAAAGCTCCACGTCAGAAAACCATGTGGCAGGTATGAAATTGACTTGAATGGATGCAGAGTCATTCTCTTGAACGTCATCGCCAGGATATTTCCATTTATCTTTGGTCATTTGCAAAACTACTATTTTGCACATTAGCTGCTTTTAAATACTAAGATCACATGATCTTCTGTAAAGTATAGTGAATGTTTGCTTGTTTGGGGGAAATGGAGGAAAATAATTATCGTTCTTGCTGAATTTAAGAAAGTGTGTGGCCATATATCTTACATCATTTAGAGTCAATCATTGTAGAGCTAGAAGTTATCCTACATAATAGCACAGGTCAGTTTTACTCTACATGTTGTGATTGCATCTTTCCAAATGAGAGTATATGTATATGCTGGTTCATTTATGTAAAAATGCAGAAATAGCTCATCTTGAGTTTGTAAATTTCTGAATTTCTCTTCAGGCTTTGATATACTATCATTACTATAATTTAAAATTCTAGCAATACACATTTGGGGTGGGGTGGGATAAAATAATAAGTCATAATTCTGATGTAGGACATGGAATGTTGTATAAATAGTAGCAAAATTCTAAATTAAAATGTAATTCAAAGCAGTTAATATTGCTATATGCTATCATATACAGGGGTGGGTAAAAGCAGGTATACAGTTGTGAGTACATGAGATGTGTTATCTATTAATTATTGTACTATTTGTATTATTTTCATACTAGCAATTATAACCCTACTTTTGCTCATCCTTGTATATATCATATATGTATGTAATAATATATGCTATCCATTATATTATATGCACTATATATTATACTCAAGGACTTTTAACATCTCTCCAACATAAGCAGCTGACCTCATATTTAAAATGCTGGTGAGCATGGAGAATGACAATCAAGGCTTCCAGTATTCAATAAGCTAATTTTATTTCACAATGGTCTACATTTTCACCAGACCATGAGATTTCTTTTTCTAGGTCAATTTACTTCAAGAGTCAATTTACTATAAGAGTCAACTTAGCATGGATTTTTATATTTTTAGTCCTGGGGATCCATAATGACTATATATTTAAAGTATTTAGATATTTCACTTAAATTAAAATTTTAAAAGCAAAATATAAATATTCTACGTAACCATGTGAAATCCCAGGAAATGTACCCATAGTGGTAAAAACTGATGTCTCTTAATAACTTCCCATTCTCATTTCAAAACATTTTGACACAAGTAAAACTGTTTTTTTATTTTTTCAACTTTACAGAGGCATAATTTACAAATTAAAACAAAAAGTATTTAAAGTGTACATTGTGATGATTTGATATATGTATACATTGTGAAAGGATCCCCCCTCATCTTGCTAATTATCATCCATCACTTTAAAACCTTTGACAGATTACTTTGCTCCTTGTAGAATAAAAAAAAGGCATAAACATCAAAAACTTGATAAATTCCAATTCTCTCTTACTGGTGTAAAAGCAGTTATAATGTACAAACTAAACTCCTCTGTAAAATCCATCTTAAAAGAATTCTAACACATACAATACTCTTGCGGGAGGAGGAGGCTGTCATTCTATTGTGTGACAGCACTAGCAAAGAGAACCATCATATCCAAAGCAGGGAAAAGGTGTGTGCTATTTTTACATAACTTTTAAAACAGTATTACATGAATTACTTGCATGTAAAGCATTCATTTCTTAAAAAGTATTTCAAAACATGAAGTTAAATGTTAAAAAATATTTTTCCATGAAGTGAAGATGAATACAAGGCTTAATGATAAAGAAACTAAAGATGGATAGATGCCATCTTTTTTTAAAAGATATGTTTTTATTGATTTCAGAAAGAAAAAGGGAGAGGGAAAGATAGATAGAAACATCACTGATGAGAGAGAATCATTGATCAGCTGCCTCCTGCATGCTCCCTACTGGGGATCTTGCCTGCTACCCAGGCATGTGCCCTAACCCAGAAACGAACCATGACCTCCTGGTTCATGGGTTGTTGCAGAACCACTGAGCCACAACAGCTGGGCAGATAGATGCCATCTTTTGGCAATTTATGATATTAATCATCTGATGATTCATAAGGGGTCAGGTAATTTGTAGATTTAGAGACACTGATAATATATAGAGAGACAAGAATTGCCCTAAACCTATAAATGAAGATATTTAAAGATGTTTAATTGCATTCTAAGAAATGTTTTACATTTTAGAAGTGAATTTACTTATACAATGACAACTTTGAACATTTTGACTATAGTCACACTTTAAAATATTGAAAGTTCTTACAACAAAGGAGCATTTGATATTTAAAAAATAATTGATAAATAGCATCTAAGCATAGACTATTTAGAAAATATAGTGTTACCTATTTTTTGTACTTGAAAATGACATTATTTATCCAAGTGGCCAGAGTTTGCATTTTGAGTGCTTTTCTCCCAGGGCTGGAATAAGTGCAAACTCCAGCGTGGTCTAGAGAGAGCTTTTAACCACATGAAAGTTTATGACTATCATCACAATCAAACTTGCAACCATTTAAAAAATACCTAATTAAATTAATCGATTTGTTCCATAGTTTACAAAAAGAGTTACTTTTCTTTTTGTTGTGATGACAAGGAGACTCCTGGGGTTCCTGAAAATAGTAATTTAACAAAAATCCTCTGGCCTTTTTACTCTTCTAGAACACCCACTGAAATGCTTCCTGCGGTTGAGTGCTCAGTAAAGCAGTGTTAAAAACTAGTGCTTCTCAATTTTTGTGTACATATAAATCACCCTGGAATCCTGTAATAATGAAAGATCTGAGATTCTGCAGTTCTAACAAGTTCCAAGGTAATGATGATGATGTTTGTCTGAGGACCACATACTGCATAGCAAACCTAGAGACTACTTCATTGTAGAAATCCTAACTGCTCTGGTAGTTATCACAACAACAAAAACATGATTTGCTTCTTAGTATTGATCACAAATGCTGAGATACTCATGTTCAGTTGGAGCATTTTCTTGAATACAAAAATCTTAGAATAATGATTTCTTAAAAGCTTTGTGAGACTTTGGAAGTCATCAAGTGCAGCTTCCTCATATTATAGTTGAGGAAGTTGAGGGTCAAGGAAGTTGAATATATGCCCAAACTCATAGGGTTATCTGTGCTAGAACCCAGGACTCCTGACTACTGCTTTAATAAAGAAACCCTAATTATTTGGCATTTCTATTTATTATAGTCTTCCTGACAAAGAGCCTAAGTATGAGTCAATAATGATTAGAATTTCAGCTTTTGATGCTCACAATAGTTTAAATGACAGCAGTATCTTTGGACTGACTTTCTTAACAGCTAAAACTCACAGTGGGCCACTATCTCCTACAATAACAAGAGTATTCACACATCTTCTTTCTTCTAAGGTCCCCTTGCAGTTTTATTATGGACATTTTATTTCTTAATTTTGAGAACCTGGGAAGGAAAGTGGACAGAGAAATGAATAGGTCATTCGTTAAAAGGCAGGGGTTGAATTTGTAAAAGGTTGTGGCAAAAAAAAGCAACAAATGAGAAAGAGCGAAGGGCATCAATATTGATCTTGCCTCTCATCTTTCCCTCTGTCTTCTTGCTTGCAGGTTTCTATTGTGTAGTCTTTCAAACAACGCAGACTTTATTTATGGTGTGACTGATTTAACCCTACTGGAATAGTCCATCATCTGCTAATTTGGTCCAATTAAAAACTGGTCATAGGGAAAAGCCTGGGAATTAAGCTAATTTGGAAACACAACTTCTGATTAATTTATGTCTTGCTCATTTATATCTCCTCTTTTAAAGGACACTTTTCATGGTGAGGGTTTATATAGGCGTTGTTTTTTCCCCCCAGATTCCTGAGTTCCTTTCTATGACCACTTAAGGTTGAGTCCCTGAAGAAAGTACAATTGTGCTTTTTCTCTTAAGACTATTGTTAAAACATTTATAGGGGATTGCCTAAGATTTCCTGCTATCCTGAATTGGAAGAGCCCCACTAAACAGCTAGAGCCATCATTTATAAAGCACTTACACATTGCATGACCCTGTATAGTTTGCATTCTCAACTAATCCCTATAACTCGGAGTTAAGTACTATTATTATCCCTGTTTATAGTTGAGGAGGCTTCAGATTTAATCGTCCAAGTAAAATTATCAAACATTATGAAGCAAGAAGAGACAGTATGGTACATGAACCAGGGTCTGCCTGATCCTAGTAACGACTGATACTGTCACCCAGTAATGAGGCTTTAATGAGATTTATGCCTAGACTAAGTCAAAACTCTGGACAACAACAACAACAATAACAACAACAAAATAATTTCCTCCACCCCTAACTTGTTCCTTCCCTCCGCACAAGTTCTTGCAGGCAGGTAGGTGTGCCAGTCCCAGTTAAACTTAGCATCTCCCACGCCCTCTGCAATTTTCCCTTTTGCTGCTGGGAGCGTCAGAGAATGGTACTGCAGCTGGTGAGTGGGCAGGTGCAGCCACCATCTGCTCTAGGGACTCCAAATGCGCAAAAGAACTTCGCACCCAGGACTTGTCCCAGGCACCACGGATTCCAGAACCTGCTGGGGACACGGCTAACCCCGCCCCCTCGTGGTGACGATTGGCTGAACCCTTCCCAAGTGCAAAGCCAGGATTAATGAAGAAGGCTGTCTTTTCTGCAAGTTTTAGGACGAGACATCTCTGAGGGTGTGAGACCCGCCAGGGGTGTGTGAATGGGGGCTTCAGTTCTTCCTGCCCGAAGGGTCCTTGAGAAGCCTGTTTGTTTTTCCCGGCGCTTGTCTCCACCCAGCCCTTCCTCTCACTGGTCAGGACCGGGGGGCGGGTGCGTTTCCATTGGTCAGGGGGCGGTGTCTGTCTGGCCAGGATGAGGGCGGGGCCTCCGCGGCGCTGAGCTTGCCCTTGTGTCTAGTGCGCGGTAGAGCTGCCGCTGCTGCTGCCGCCGCTGCCGCCTCAGCCGCCGCCGCCGCCGCCGCCGCCACCGCCGCCGCCGCCGCCGCTGCTGCAGCCGGAGCATCCGGGAGCCGCCGCCGCCGCTAGAGCTGCTTCCACTCCTACCATCTCCCCTCCCAGGACCCCGAGACACCCCGAGCGCGTGCGGCGGCTGCTGCTTGCATGCACCCCCTCTCCCTCCGCCCCTCCCTGCCGTGACCTACCCACTCCTTGCAGCCCTCGTACGCACCTTTTCCGACACCCCGGCATCCCTGCACCACCTGCTCGGGCAGCCCCGGCAGGCGCTCGGACTTGCTGTGCGCGCCCAGAGGAAGGCGAGCCCCGACCCCGTGCCTAGCAGACGGGCTGTCGCGGCTGCACCACCAGCAGGAGGAGGACGAGAGGAAACTATTTCGCCCACCGCAACCCCATTCTGCGGGTCTGCGGGTGCTTCGCCGCCGCCGCTTCTGCTGCCGCCGATCCGCGTCCGCGGGTTCGAACACCGCAGCGGCGGGGACCGTGGGTCCGGCGGGCACCGCGAGGAGGACACCGGCGGAGCCCTGCACTCCGTTGCCCCGCTCCCCAGCAGATCCTTGCCCCCCGGTTCCTTCCCCGACCCTTTAGAGAAGGGACCATGATTTGGAAACGAAGCGCCGTTCTCCGCTTCTACAGTGTCTGCGGGCTCCTACTACAAGGTAATCCCCGCCCCGCCGGGGAGCATCAACTTCACGCCCATTCCCCATCATCCCCACTCCACCCCATATTTCCACTCTCCCCACTTCGGTCCCCCGGTCCCCAGAGATGCCCACCCCCTCCCCCTACTCCCTGTGCAGCAGGGGGCAGTGGCAGTTTGCTCCAGCCCCTCGGATCTCTACCGCTGGCTCAGCCCCGCTCTCCCAGCTGTCAGCCCCTCACGCGGCACCTTTCGCCTTTTCATTCACCTGAGCTTCCTATATTTCTCACTCCATCCCCGCCACCACCACCCCCCCCCCTTCCTACGCCTTTTGGCTGGCAACTTGTGCCTTTTCTGAACATTCCACCCTCTCACCACCACCCACCAGCCACTTCCCACATCACGCTCCTGACCGACCCTCTCCATCTCTTGTCATCTCTTTAACCTCCCTCCTTTCGGGTCGCCTTTCTCCTTCCCCTGCTTCCCACCATCATCATATCCTGTGTCTTTAAAAAGTGAGTGACAGTCTGGGAGCGAGCTACCGAGACGGCGAGAGGCGAGAACAGCAGCAGCGGCAGCACCGTGTGCATTGCAATAACATCCCGGGGGTGTGGGGGACGGCGGGGGGATGTGTTGTGAGACTTGTCATTCACCTAGGAAGAGAGAGGGGACTGTGTTTGGGATTAAAAAAGAGAAGAACGAACGAATGAAAAAAAGAAAAGAAAGATTTTTAAAAATGAGAAAAAGAAGGAATGAATAAACGGGGGTGGGGTGGGGTGGGGGGAGGGAGGGGGGAGGGCGAGAAGGGGGAAAACAAATGACCCAAAGCCACTTTATCAACAAACCGACTTTTTATTATTCAGTCCATGTGGTTTTCTTTTCTTTTTTTTTCCCCCAGCAAAGAAATACATGCATCCTAACAGTTACTTTCTGCTCGGGGTTTTCGCTTAGATCCCGACCTCTCCATCCGCTCTCTGCCGCTTCTTTCCGTAATTAATGCTACCCTTCCACGTAAAATGTGAGAACCCCGAGGACCGCAGTGGAGGGAAACTGCACAAAACACTGTGATTATGCAAATCCCTGGGTTTGGATGCGGAGGGACTGGGGAGCTGAGGTGCACTGTCCCCCAGACGCGCTTTTCGGGGAGGGAGGGAGGGTCTGTGGGCACCGGGAGGACGGTGCTGATGGGGAAATAAGCGGCGGTGTTTGGAGGAGGAGTGCACGGGGAGAGCACACTTTGGGGTGGTGGTGGAGGCGGAGGCGGCGTTCTAGGGCTCGGCGGGCAGGGGCTGTAAGGAGGAAGATTGTTGCTTTGAAGAGAGTAGTGTGGGGATTGTGGTTTGAGTGTGAGATTCGGGGAGAATGGATGTGAAAGGATGGTCGATAGGGTTTTTTTTTTTTTAAAGCTAGGTGACTCTTGATTTCTCCTTCAATCTTTGCCCACCTCTAACCCCTCTGTCATTATTTGTGTATGTGCGGAAAGATAAGTTGATCAAATGTATGTGTCTCTGGGTAAAAGGAATGTGAAAGTAAAGCACATGTAGACCCACAGGCGTGCAAAACCCACTCGGCCTTTGGAGGATTTAAATGAGGTCAATGAACCATCTTTCAGCAAGTTCTTGGAATGCATCCCCTCTCCTGTCCTCCTCCGGGATACAGACCGGGACCGTATTTTATGTATGCATATTTATGAATGTGAAAGAAGAGCTAGTGGACAGAATTTTCCCGAATTAACTAGCTGACCTTGCAGAGGTATTCTTTAGCATATTTTTGTGGCAATCTTGTGTATTTTATGTTGGATGTAAATTTCAGATATGTCATAAGCCGTAATCCCCGAGAAGGCAGACAGCCCATTCTTCCTGCTTAGGCTGCCTCGTCCCATTTCCCAGCGCTCACACCCCCACCCTCGCACAAGTAACCCTGGTAGCCGGCTGACACGTTACTTGGGTTTCTAATCGGTGCTGAAACACCCTCCCAGCGACCCCGCTTCACCTCTCAGTAACTTGTATTTCTCAGCTCCTGTGTGTGTGTGCCTGTGTGTGCCTGTGTGTGTGCCTGTGTGTGCGCGCGCGCGAGTGTGTGTGTGTGTGTGTGTGTGTGTGTTCACGCGCGCTCCCGCGCTCGCGCCACGCCGGGTAGAGGAGTGTTATGTGGGGAAATCAGTTAATTTGGTGATTGTGATGAAAATTCGACACCGCTGGATATGTTTTCCTCGCCAATCTGTGTGAGCTGGCCCCAGCACGTCATTGCACACACTGCTGGGCTGGGGCTCGAAGATTATTTATTATAGAGCGTGTGGGCAATGGACTGCACTTGGGGGTCGTCTCCTCTCTGCCTTCAACATTTCCCTGCGAATTGTCTATTCAGTGCACTGCGAAATAACTGTCTGCCGGTGCCCCTCTCGCTCTCAGCCCGAGGAGGATTTACTTTCTCTACCCGGAAGATTCCATCAGCTGCATTCTCTCTCTCTCTTTTTTTAAGGGCATGGGTGTCTTTTATTAAGTATGTAAACCACTGATTAAGACAGTGTCGCTTTCACAGCCCACTGGGGGTGGGGTGGAAGGCGTGTGGGTATGCCAGGGAAAATGCACCACTGCAACCAGCAGCAGCACCAGCAGCAGGTCCAAATAAATAAATAAGTGTCCGATACAGCAACCAGGGAGAGAGCACCGGCCCAATGATATCTGTGTACTTGTGAGCATCTTAGATCAGGCCATATTAATACACCAAAAGAGAGAGAGGATTTAAAGAAGAAGAAAAAAAAAAAACCTAGAAGGGGGAGGGGGTGCAGAGCACCACTGGATTGTCTTCTCATGTTTATGGCTGCCTCCCATTTATCAAACACTGCTCCACAGGCACATCACACTTTGTTGATACTGTCAGTTCTTGCTCAAACAAATTGCTCATGCCTTCCTTGTCTTAGTCTTGTCTGAAAACATTGCTTCGGGGCCCAGGCTTATGTTTCTCCCACCACCCGACTGTTTTATTAGGACTTGGTGAGGTTGTAAAGGGAAAGCTTATTTCCAGGACACAGATGAAATACTTAGCAGGTCTGTCTTTTCTGTGTGCAGGGAAGGCAGGGTGGTAGGGGCAATAGTGAGCAACTGCCTTTGGCTAGGGGGAGTCTGCTCTGCCTGCTAGCAGTTATGACTAGGCAAATACTATGGGCAGTCTACAGCTTCTTATTTTTAGTTTTGTCAGCACTATCATGGGATCCGGTTACTTCAGTTAATACCAATCAATTTATTTATCCTTTGTGTTATTATCCACTTTCTTGCAATATGCTTTATTTTATAGAAGAGGACCCGTTTGGACATATCATCTCTGTGTTTTCACTGTTTTATACATCACCATTTTTTTTCCGTTTTCTGAGAAGCAAAATCAATCTTCTGACTTGTTAATGTGTACAATGACAAGCCAATGGTGAGAATCAAGTCAATGATATCATGCATTAAAAAAAGAAATAAAAAGAAAAAGCTTAAATCGTTTAATTCTAAAACACCTATCAATTCATCCCCAATAGATCTTTATGAGATAAATGGTTAGCAAATAAACATGTTTCTGATTAAAGTGTAACTTGGGATTAGACTACTTAGAAAAAATTTGATTTGGTGTTAAGCTATTTTTTCCTTTTCCTCCATCATAGACAGAGGAAAAATCTGAGGTAAGAGCGAGGGATCCTTTAGAGAAATGAATTTCTTTAGAATGAGGAGTGAAAAGCTTGCCACCTGTAACTAAGACCTCTCTTGGCTGCAGAGTAGATCCAGTTCAATAGCTAACCCTTGCAGAAGCTATATCCCTTGCCATGCCTGAGGAGGCACTGCAAAGATGGAGACTGTCTTGTTTAACCAGGAACTGTCCTAGAAAGGGTGAAAAAGAGACAAGGGCAAAATATAACCAGAAAATAGACCCAAATATTGTTGAGAACTTTATTTCCTTTTTAGAGTTTATCTTATAAAAAACACATCCAACACAAATACTGGGACTTTTGTTTTTTTAGTTAATTTTTTGTTTATTTGTGTGTTTTCTTTTGCCCTGGAACATTCTGGTAAATGGTATATTATATTCAGAAAGAAAGATCTTCAAATTAAAGGTCAACTGGACATACATATTGTTTGCCCGAGTATGTGTATGTGTATGTGTCATTAACTTCATATATATACATACATATAATTTTTTATTGTTGAAAGTATTACAGATGCCCTTTCTTTCCTCCTTTGATCCCCTCCATCCCTTTCCTGCCCTCTCCCAGGCCTTCCCAGTACTATTGTTTGCCCATGGGCTATGTATATATGCATAAAAGTCCTTAGGTTAATCTCTTCCCACCACTCCCACCCTTTCCCTCTGAAATACATGGGGAGTATTATGCTAAATGAAATAAGTCTGACAAGTATCACATGATCTCACTTATATGTGGAGTCTAATGAGCAAAATAAACTGATGAAAAAAACAGATCCAGAAACATTGAAACATGCATCTTTCTCTTACATTCTTATAAAACACATTATAATATAAAATGCACTATGTACATTAAATAAAATAGATGACTTAATACTTCCTAAAATCATGTTTCTCCTACTATTTTACCTCTCTATGTAATAACCTTACTCTTGTCGAGCTTTAATACTGAATGCAGCTCCTGGGAATAGCTCTCTCCACCCTTTTTTGATTAATAGCTGTGACTTTGAAAAGTAGAGTCTGTATATGACTACAACTTAAGAAAACATCAGACACTTAGTAATTAAGAAAATCTCCCTGCAAATATGAGGGGTCTCTGGACTAACTTTGCATTAAGATATGGCAGCTTACTTTATTGTCGTCTCCCCATTTGTACAACTATTAGAACTCTGGGAAATTAATATGACAAGGGTAAGCATCAACTGAGATGGCCTCTTCCTGCCTTCTCAACTAGAAGTAAGGTACTTGAATACTATTTGCCCCACATTTGCATACTGAAATGTCATTTTTCTTAAAGAAAAAATTACTTAAATCACTTCAAGAGCAAATGGAAGTGCAAAAATG